CAAACAAAAACTTTTCCGTGAGGTTTACTGTTCTCAACACCACTAGGTATTAGTAATCATATTTTGAGAACCTACTCACTAAAATCAAAACTGTTTACAATATAGTTAGTCTGGACATCAACTACATTTTAATTATCAATATTTTTTTAAAGTCAGTTTTATGATATGAGCAGGTAGGTACTTAGTCTACTATTTACATACATAAAGATTTAAAACGCCACCTCACAAATTCTAAAAAAAACCAAGCTTCGTTTGCAAAATAGCTAAAATAAGAGAAAAAGAATAGTTTCAAATAAAACCATTAGAAAATTCAAATTTATTTTACTGTTTTCTATTACCTTACCTCCGGAATTGATGGAGTGACCTGAAGGTGTACTTTGGTAATCGGTATTGGAACAGGTCGCCGAGTACTACTAGGTGTGCCGAGTTTGGTCTCGTTTTATTAGGTATGACGAGCCCTTACCTTCGGACTTGATGGAGTGACCTGAAGGTGTACTTTGGCAATCGGCATTGGAACAGGTTGCTAAATACTACTAGGTGTGCCGAGTTTGGTCTCGTTTTGTTAGGTATGACGAGCCCTTACCTCCGGACTTGATGGAGTGACCTGAAGGTGTACTTTGGCAATCGGCATTGGAACAGGTCGCTAAGTACTACTAGGTGTGCCGAGGTTGGGCTCGTTTTGTTAGGTATGATGAGTCCTTACCTCCGGACTTGATGGAGTGACCTGAAGGTGTACTTTGGTAATCGGTATTGGAACTGGTCGCTAAGTACTACTAGTTGTGTCGAGTTTGATCTCGTTTTGTTAGGTATGACGAGCCCTTACCTCCGGACTTGATGGAGTGACCTGAAGGTGTACTTTGGTAATCGGCATTGGAACAGGTCGCCGAGTACTACTAGGTGTGTCGAGGTTGGGCTCGTTTTGTTAGGTATGACGAGCCCTTACCTCCGGACTTGACGGAGTGACCTGAAGGTGTACTTTGGTAATCGGCATTGGAACAGGTCGCCGAGTACCACTAGGTGGGCCGAGTTTGGGCTCGTTTTGTTGGGTATGACGAGCCCTTACCTCCGGACTTGACGGAGTGACCTGAAGGTGTACTTTGGTAATCGGCATTGGAACAGGTCGCCGAGTACCACTAGGTGTGCCGAGTTTGGGCTCGTTTTGTTAGGTATGACGAGCCCTTACCTCCGGACTTGACGGAGTGACATGAAGGTGTACTTTGGTAATCGGCATTGGAACAGGTCGCCGAGTACCACTAGGTGTGCCGAGTTTGGGCTCGTTTTGTTAGGTATGACGAGCCCTTACCTCCGGACTTGACGGAGTGACCTGAAGGTGTACTTTGGTAATCGGCATTGGAACAGGTCGCCGAGTACCACTAGGTGTGCCGAGTTTGGGCTCGTTTTGTTAGGTATGATGAGCCCTTACCTTCGGACTTGACGGAGTGACCTGAAGGTGTACTTTGGTAATCGGCATTGGAACAGGTCGCCGAGTACCACTAGGTGTGCCGAGTTTGGGCTCGTTTTGTTAGGTATGACGAGCCCTTACCTCCGGACTTGACGGAGTGACCTGAAGGTGTACTTTGGTAATCGGCATTGGAACAGGTCGCCGAGTACTAGTACTAGTACTAGTACTAGTAGTAGAGTAGAGTAAGGGCTCGTCATACCTAACAAAACGAGCCCAACCTCGACACACCTAATAGTACTCGGCGACCTGTTCCAATGCCGATTACCAAAGTACACCTTCAGGTCACTCCATCAAGTCCGGAAGTAAGGGCTCGTCATACCTAACAAAACGAGCCCAAACTCGGCACACCTAGTAGTACTCGGCGACCTGTTCCAATACCGATTACCAAAGTACACCTTCAGGTTACTCCGTCAATTCCGGAGGTAAGGGCTCGTCATACCTAATAAAACGAGCCCAAACTCGGCATACCTAGTAGTACTTGGCGACCTGTTCCAATGCCGATTACCAAAGTACACCTTCAGGTCACTCCGTCAAGTCCGGAGGTAAGAGCTCGTCATACTTAACAAAACGAGCCCAAACTCGGCCCACCTAGTAGTACTCGGCGACCTGTTCCAATACCGATTACCAAAGTACACCTTCAGGTCACTCCATCAAGTCCGGAGGTAAGGGCTCGTCATACCTAACAAAACGAGCCCAAACTCGGCCCACCTAGTAGTACTCGGCGACCAGTTCCAATAGCGATTACCAAAGTACACCTTCAGGTCACTCCGTCAAGTCCGGAGGTAAGGGCTCGTCATACCTAACAAAACGAGCCCAAACTCGGCACACCTAGTAGTACTTAGCGACCTGTTCCAATGCCGATTACCAAAGTACACCTTCAGGTCACTCCGTCAAGTCCGTAGGTAAGAGCTCGTCATACTTAACAAAACGAGCCCAAACTCGGCACACCTATTAGTACTCGGCGACCTGTTCCAATGCCGATTACCAAAGTACACCTTCAGGTCACTCCGTCAAGTCCGGAGGTAAGAGCTCGTCATACTTAAGAAAACGAGCCCAAACTCAGCCCACCTAGTAGTACTCGGCGACCTGTTCCAATACCGATTACCAAAGTACACCTTCAGGTCACTCCATCAAGTCCGGAGGTAAGGACTCGTCATACCTAACAAAACGAGCCCAAACTCGGCCCACCTAGTAGTACTCGGCGACCAGTTCCAATAGCGATTACCAAAGTACACCTTCAGGTCACTCCGTCAAGTCCGGAGGTAAGGGCTCGTCATACCTAACAAAACGAGCCCAAACTCGGCCCACCTATTAGTACTCGGCGACCTGTTCCAATGCCGATTACCAAAGTACACCTTCAGGTCACTCCGTCAAGTCCGGAGGTAAGGACTCGTCATACCTAACAAAACGAGCCCAACCTCGACACACCTAATAGTACTCGGCGACCTGTTCCAATGCCGATTACCAAAGTACACCTTCAGGACACTCCATCAAGTCCGGAGGTAAGGGCTCGTCATACCTAACAAAACGAGCCCAAACTCGGCACACCTAGTAATACCTACTCGGCGACCTGCTCCAATACCGATTACTAAAGTACACCTTCAGGTCACTCCGTCAAGTCCGGAGGTAAGGGCTCGTCATACCTAACAAAACGAGCCCAAACTCGGCACACCTAGTAATACCTACTCGGCGACCTGCTCCAATACCGATTACTAAAGTACACCTTCAGGTCACTCCGTCAAGTCCGGAGGTAAGGGCTCGTCATACCTAATAAAACGAGCCCAAAGTCGGCACACCTAGTTCTACTAGTCCAGGTGTTCCAGTATTAGTTACTGAAGTACACCTTCAGGTCACTCCATCAAGTCCGGAGGTAAGGTCTTATCATAACTGACAAAATCAGCCCAAAGTCCACAGCTAACTTCTCAGTGCCAGCAGAGGGCTCCCAGTGCAAAGCAGTCTCTAGAGTAGGTATTCGTACCTCGTAACTAAGTCTTATTACTCTATGTATCTAAGTATATTTTTGTGGTGTAAGAAATCAAAAACAAATTTGATCTTTCAAATTATTAAAATAATTTTATTTGACTACGATTCCCGCAGCCAACCGTGCGTACACTTGTGTGCGTGACTCATGTCAATGTAATAGTTCGATTCTATACCTATATCAATTTTGTAAACGCGTCCTTAAAAAATCTTAACGTAAATACTGCGGCAAAAAGAGCGACACGTCTCTACAGCACCAGGCCTCGGCCGGCAGTGACTGCACAGGCGTTTACGCAAACATCCGTACGTATTATTTCAGAAATAAGAATATGTGATTTTAAAAAAAAACTATTAGTTGGACTAAAAAATTGAAACACTATAACGATAATATGTTCAATGTATAAAAATCTGACAAAAAATCAGAATGATTGAATGTATACTAGTATGGTTTTTACTAGTTAAAAGAAATTTTTGGAGGTATGTTTGTGATTTTTTTCTATCGTATTAAATTAGTAGTATCATGTTTTCAACACACTATCTAACTAGGATATATCCTGGACAATATCATACATTTTTCTGGGTTTGTTTACTGCAGTGGATCATTTACTTTGAGGCATTATAAAACTTGCGTTTAGGGTCATGCCTCGTCTTAAAAACTATCATCAAAGATATTTTTGCTTTGTAACGCAAAGGAAGGCATACCCCATTGCTGCTATTTGATACTGCATTTTTCCTTCCTTCACATTTTTACACTTGTTAATTTCAGATTTCGTACATTATTAACTTATTGTGTTTAAAATGATTAATATGATAAGGTTACGTTAGATTATTACCTCGTTGGTCTTGTGGTTGTAGTAGTACTACTGCTGATCGTGAGGTCCTGGGTTCGAATCCCGGGTCGGGCCAAAAATCGATTATTGAGTTTTTCCGTCAAGAAATTCTCAAGAAGAAGAGTGAGGTACGCAAGATGATGTTGTTACGAGGATTAAGAAAGAAATGCGTCGGTGGTTTGGTAATGTAGAATTTATGTTGCAGAAGTGAACGACAGAGTCGGTAAGGGACACCCTAGCCCTTTCGGTCCTAGTACTCACAATTGTGACGGTGACTTTGTCAATTTTTAAAAAATTAAACAATCGTCATGCGACAGCGTCGTACGATCTTGCGTATAGTTCAGTTTACTATGACAAAGAGCAGTGGAGCAAAAACAATAATTTTGACTCAGTCGGCATTCGCCGCCTAGCAACAAGCACGTGTTACGCGCCAAAATTAAACGTACCTGTTTGTCACGTTAAATTAAATAAAAACTCTATTGTTATTGCAATCATTCGTTTAAAAAAAGCTAAATTCTCGATAAATTATGTTTTTATTCGTCCTTTCGCGTTTTTAGTTTGTCTTTTTCGACGTTACTTTTAGATGTCACAATCGTGAGGGTCCGGGCCCAACGTTGGTCATTAGTGATTATTTATACTAATTATTTTATGTTAAAAACCCATAAAATAATTGGTATAAATATAATTATTTATACCAATTATTTTATGTTTTTGACTCTGATGCTATAATGGATCAACTCGCTGACTCGGGTTTGGGCGAGGACTTTGACGACTATAATGATTGGCATCTACCTGGTGAGCTACCTTGTTCTAGCTCGGATGACAAAGACGAGCAAGAAGCAAGAGTTTCAACAGTAGCAAGTTCATCATTGTCGAATAAATGGACTCGCAGACGATTCGTCGGTAAACCCATGCCTACACTGATCTCGGAGTCGACGGAAGAGGTACCTACTTACTCCAAGTGAATACTTTGATAGGTACTTTACTGAAGAAATTTACGAGTTATTAATATTAACTTGTTCAACTGCTATTGGATAAAGCCCAACCATTGCATAAAGTACAGCGTTACGATAAAATTACAAAATCATACATTGAAGTAACTCGCCCTGATATTAAAAAAAATACAACGAACAATGGGAAGTCTAAACGTCAGCGACCAAATGATGGAGGTGTACAGATCAAGGCATAAAACGCGCAAATGGCCAATCAAGTTAAAAATGCATTTGTTTGACTTGGTCGTGGCGAACTCGTGGTACGAGTATCGCCAATCATGTGACAGAAATAAAGTCAAGAACTCTAATATCATGGATTTTCTGGACTTTAAAATATGCGTATCTGATTTTCTACTTGGCGTTTTAACGAGAAAACGCACCCGAGAAGAATTCGAAGAAATGGCAGATTCCTTCAACATCCCACTATCAACCTGCACCTATTCCAATTGTAGATAAACGTCTCGATGGTTATAACCATTGGTCCGTATGTGATTCCCTAAAAGCTCCCCGCTGTTGCTGAGTGACAGGTTATACAAGCCGTTCAAAAGTAAGATACACAAAATGCAATGTTTATCTTTGTAGTACTAAAGATATAAATAATTTTTTAAAAATATTTTTCTCAAGTCTATTCCTTTTAGTAATTATAAACTGATGATCTCGATTATGTGCCTTGTTCCTAGTTTTTAGATTTTTATTATATCTAATTACGCAAAAATATAGGTTAAAGAAGCGTTATAATTTTTTTACTTATTATAAATAAGAAATTAAGTTAATTTTGATTATAAAATAAATAATTATTCCTAATTTTTACTTTTGTTTGAATATTGAAATTACCCTCACGATCGTGAGGGTAGCTCCAGTTGGACCCGACGTAGTACGATCGTGAGTATCGTGGAAAACAGTTTTCCCATTTTCCTAGATTTTTTAGACCCCATATTTGTAATGTACGCATGTTACTTGTCCTAAATCAGTTATGTAATATTCGTTAGGTAGCGCCGTCACGGCACGGGTCTGAAAGGGCGGCGAAAGTTCGTCGACCAAATTGGCAATCTATTGAAAAGGGGCCAAATTAGAGAACCCTTAACCGACGAGCATGTGTGCGTAGGTATATGGATGTGGAGGAGGCGAGATAGCTGTGTCAGGATCGTGCCAAATGGAAGTCTGTAGTTTCTGCCTACCCCTCTGGTTGATAGGTGTGAGTGCTTATGAGATGAGAAATTCTCAATAGTTGCCCGGAGTCAGGAAGTTGGCGGTGTCTCACCGCCGTGCCTCGGTAAGCACGTAAAGCCGTTGGTCCTACGCCTGATCTCTCTCTGGTCGTGTCGGTTTACCGTTTCATCGGATGATGAGAGTAAGGGAGTAGAGAGTACACCTGTGCTTGCACATACTTATTATGTTAGGTTAATATTAAATTGCGCTACGGTAACGTAGCAATACCTATTCATAATGACCAGAAAATGTGATAAATGATGAAGTTTAAATCAGCGTTAATAATGTAGCCCGATTTGACTTGTCATTGCTCGGGCACTGTAAATACTTAGTGTCCTGATTAATTACATGGTCCATAACTTATACACTGGCGGTGTTCGCAACGCACGCGGTACGCGCACGCAAACATTATACCTATTCAGGTAGTTAATCTTACTTATCTTCATACTGTGGAATAAGGTAAAAAAGCAAATATGTAATGACATTTTTTTGTATAGGATGGGGTGACAAACGAGCACACAGTCCACGGTAGGTAGGTAGGTAAGTGGTTGCTGTTGACCATAGGCATCTACATCTATCCTCGATTACGAATCAAAATGCCAATGCGTTGTCACAGTGTTGTGTGAGGTCTTAGATGTAATGCCTCGTTTCCAGTAAAAAGGGTCTCCGGTTCTCTACACTCACCATACGAAACACAGCAGCATTAAGCTACTATTTTACGCTGGTATTCTGTGAGAGCGTGGTCCTTCCCCGGTCGAGCCGACCCATCCGTGCTACAACTACACTACTAATATAAAAACATCATGGCTCTACCACGTATAAATTACGCCAATTAACTCCGTCACTCATAATTCTTCTCGGCATTGCATTTTTCGTGCCCATTAGGTACTACGGTTTATCACGCATCGCATCCTTCACTTAAAACTTACAATATGTTAAAATAATGTTATTAAAAATTTGTGGGGTATAATGTGTAACAAATCTTTTAAAACTCGTATAAATCCCTTTAAACGTTTTGAAAGGTTGAACAATATTTAAACAAGTTTCTAAAATTATTCACGCATTATCCACAAAACAGGTTAAGCACGCGGCACAGTATCACAAGCTATTATTGTTACGAGATAAATCTTCAATAAACTACCTCCCTTGTCAAATGATGACCGCTAAGTGGCCAAAGAACGGCTCGTGTCAAACCTCCATTCATCTGAACATTGTATGTAACCAATCGACCAAAGGCGACTGTTTATCCGAAGTTTTAAAGATCAACATCCGTGGTCCATGGTTGGTTATAAATGATATGACTAAAACGTGTATTTACAGAGCGAGAACGTGTATCATAACACCATATATTTTGTAATACAATGGATTGTCCTATTAGTTTTATTAAATTAAAAGATTTAATTTTTTTAAATATATAGTTTAGTTGTTATATAAGTTCTGAATTAAGAAAAATATTAAACTATTATAGGAAATAGAAATAAATGTACGTTTTCCTCTCTTTTCGTCTGCCAAGCTATGGCCATCATGGGGGAGGTCTATGTACAACAGTGGATTTGTGATGGGCTGTAAGGAATAAATAAATGAGCAGTTATTACAATTATTATGTTTATTATAGTAAATTTAAAATCCCGATTTTTTATATTTATATATGGTGACTTTAAAAAGGGTTAATACGGACCGAATAGGGTGGACGCACGCGCCACCGTGGGGAGTTGGACCGGTCGACCATTGGTCAGGGAGGGGAGATACGAAAAGTCGACGCTGCTGTTTCCCATTGGTCTTGAAAGTATTGCCAGGTGCTATTTTATTCTGTATGTTTGTTAATTATTTGAAGTACGTTTACAGACATACCAAACACAAATGAAAAACAAAAGAAAATATAAAAAGAATATCACGATAATATTTATAAGTATAAGTAAACTAAGAAGAAGTTTTATAATTTTTTATACCTGTTCTCATTCGAAATTAAATTACTTAAACCAGAAATAATAGATTGGTTTGTGCAGTTTTGTACTGTGCTGATTTACTAAGTGTTTAGCGAAGGAAAACATGAGGAAACCCATCACGAGAAAGAATATCTGACGAATTAAATATTTTAAGTGCATCATTGATTATTATATCAATGAAGTGGAGAACATGTAAAGTCCTAAGAACTAAAGCAGCACGGCAGACTTAATATCAATATAGTGATTATTTAATTGCTTAAAAACTAAAAATTTATTTATTTATTTATGCTTATTTGCACAACAAGTACAAAAAGGTGTACTTCATTGCAACAGGGCATGTTCTGCCAGTCTACCTCCACACTAAGCAGAGAAGATATTATAAATAATATCTAGGTATAAGTAGACACACATTACATATTGCGATAATGATGCGATGTTATAAACATAATTATACGCATATATATATATATATATATATATATTATAGATCTACATCAAGATATATAATATTTTGCCAAATATGAATAAATGGTATATATTAGAAAATCATACTTGGTAAAATATTAAATAAATATTGTTGGATTATTTGTATATCTTATGTTGAACATTGTTTAGCTTACTGTACTTGCATACATTTGTTAAATCTATAAGTCAATAAAATTTATTATTATTATTAATTTTACACTCCACAATAGCAGTAGAGTAGAGACAAGTAAAATAACGTTACACAACTCACACATACATAATTTAAAAAGCAACATTAAAAAGCGACAGTGTTTTTATTTCCGATGCAAATGAAATTGCAGGGGGCGAGCTCAAGCAGGCGTGCGTCAAATGCGAAATAAATCCGTTTGAAATTTAATATGTCGCGCTGAATGCGCTCATACATGCAGTCACGCGTGTGCGGGTTCACTCGGCCGTGCCGTCGCCAAGATACACTTCGATTTCATATGAACCATTCTTATCATACTTATGAAAAGAATATTTAAATCGGAAATGATTGATTTGAGATACGATACTATGATGCTTAAGTTGTTTCGTGCTTCATCAGCCAATTCGTCTATCAAGAGTGGCCTATTACGCCAATATCGGCCTTGGATACATATTTCAGCGGCTAGTAAGCTATCATGAGATGGATGTATTAAATAATCGAACACCTTTCCCGGGAGCGTCGAATGATATTTATATTTCGTGATGCTGATGTTAGTGCTGTTAGCCTTACGCTGATGTAAATTTGATTCATGACAAATCGTTATATCTCATGTATAAATAGTGGTATTACAATCTTCTTCTTCTCCTTCATGTCTTACATTATCTTTAATTGATTTTTTACATCACAGTCAAACAATTATAAAGAGAAGACACTAGTCAATCAGTCAAGTACACCTGCTAAGCGCATTGATTCCGGCATATCCACCTTTCTTAGAAGAGGCGCATCTCCAACAATGACTGCTTTAGTGCTGACAGAGAGAAAAATAGAATGCTTCCTACATTAATGTGACAGATTGTAACAAATAAGTATACACATCTGTAGTGAACGGAAATAATGGGTGCGTTTGGAAGAAAAAAGCGCTAGCAAGCGCTTGTAAGCAAAATGGCGATCGTAAGCGGTAAGCGCTGTCAAATCGTAAGTAGCTATTTTCATCTAGGACACGAAGTCAGTTTTAACCGGAAAACCTAACCTAATTTAAATATATGTTTGTAAAGTATTCATATTAAAAACTTACCAATCATGAATTTTTAATAACATCTATAATTCTATTCATGTCATTATATTACTTAAAACTAATATTGCACAAAAAAACCTATAAACTCTAC